GGGCAGGGGGTCTGGATCGGAGGGGATCGAGCAGAGGATCGGGCGCCTCTGGCTGTCACAGTAGCAGAAGAGATATTGGGGTGGGGGGGGAGTTGTTGTCAGAGACGCATCATCCCTTGGGAAGCTGTCCTGGCCAAGAGCGCAGGAGGGGTCGTAAGTGGGGGGGGACCCTCTCCCCGCCCCCGCGATGCGGGGACCGGCGGGCCACCAGTTGCTTCTCCCGCCCCCCCCCAACCCTTCCACCCCCGCCTGCCTGCTCTAGCTTTGCAAGAGCAGGAGTGGAACCCAGAAGCCGGGCAAAGACAGGGGGGGGGGGCTGCCTGGCAGTGCAGGACCCCCAGCTAGCCAGGCGACCCCTTTGCAAAAGAGGCTGGAGCTGGGGGCCAGGCCTGGCCGAGTGTTATTTTTCAAAGTGGGGGAAGGCCCGCCCCTGAATGGATGCAAGCCCCGCCTCTCCGCCCAGCTGGAACCGGGGCTCGTGTGTGTGTGTATGTGTGTATGGGGGGGGGAGGTTGTTATGTGCCTCTGAATCACCAGCCCACCCCCGTCGGGATTGGCACGTGGGGGCGGGCTGGGGGCGGCAGAGAACGAGCGAGCAGCCGCGGCGCCTGCAGGCGGAGCCAGGTGGGTGGTGGGAGGCGGCGTGGGGAGGGGGGAGGTTGGGGGTTTGCAGCAGAAGGCTGTTTTTTGGGGCGGGAGTGGGGGCTGTTTCACGGCTCAACGCCCCCCTCTGCCTTCAGCATCTGAACCCCCTTACGTGAAAGCGCTTTTAAACTTGTGCAAGGATGAGCAAGAGACACCCCTGGCTTTAAATGGGGGGGGGGTGAGCTGGTGCAAACTGGGGAAGGAACCCCCACTCCCCACTGGGTTGGGGTCGAGCCTTAAGGCCGCCCCCCCCCCCTTTGGGCCGCCAAGGGGGGAAGATTAAGGGGCCCCCCTTTCCCCCCCCTCCCCGGTGGAAAATTAGCCCCCCCCCCCCCCCCCCTGTAGAACACTGGCCGATCTCAGGAGCATCTATAGATCCATGTTTTACCAAAACTTGGCAACCTTGAGGATTTGCTGGCTGGGGGATTCTGGGAGTTGAAGTACACACACACACACACACACACACACCCCTCCCAAAGTTGCCACGTGTGAAAAACATGGGCCAATAGCACACCTAGCGTGGACCGTCAAAAGCTGTCAAAAGCCTAGTTATACTGATTTCCTGTGTGAATGCAGTGCCTTCATCTTTGGGTGTCTTGGTTAAATATGTTGTCTGAACCAGGATTTCATTATCATAAATCTGGATCATAGAGCGATAAGGCCCAAACACACTTTTAACATGCCCTTTAAGCCAAGGAAGTTTTAAGTAACACGTGCTATTTGCGTTTGTCAGAAATGGAGCCTCCAGCTAGCAGGGCAGTCTACCTTTGAGAGCAGCGCACCCGAGAAGACAGGAACTTGTTTTGTGAGAAGTGTTTGCCGGGTGTTTGGTAGGAGAGATGGATTACGGAATGAAAATTAGGAAATTAATTTAATTTTTTTTTAAAAAAAATTAATTAAATTAATTATAATTATTAGGAAAGAAATTTCTTTTGGATTTTCTCCTTTCGATTACCTTGATAGTATTTTTTAAAAAAAATAAAAATAAATCCACTTTTGCAAATCAGAATGAGAAAAGAGCAGCCAAGGTAGGGTGGGATAGAATTAAAAAACTTTATTGTCACTTTAAATGCACACTAATCGGCGTACGTTAAAAGGAAAATTTCGTTGCATTCCATTCTCGAAAGATAACCATGATGCATGTACCCCCACACATAGAATGGGCTGCCTGCGTGGGTCTTCTCATTGTCTTTTAAACGTGGATGATTGATTACTCCAGAGACCCTGAAGGAGAAGGGAATGGTTTTAAAAGGGCCCTGTTTGTTTGTTTGTTTTTAAATTAATTTTAAGCGCACACGGCGCTCAGGGAAGTTGAGTTGATGTGCAGTAGAAGGAAATGTGGGGGGGGAAACCCACAGATCCCTTTGGAATATTTAAGCAAGGGCCGTGTTTGTGCATGGAAAAAAAAGGCCCTTTGGGCTGGGAGGCTTCAGGGCAAGTGTGGGCCCGCTTGTCTGTCTCTTGGCTAACCTGTGAGTCACCTGCCTGGAAATGGGGTGTCTCCCAGGAAATTGGGTGGGGAGGTGTGACTTGTGCGTGAGCAAAGGTGATGAGGAGGCCCTGACAGGTTGCCTCTGGGATCCCTTGGGAAGTCCTGGATCAACCTACCTCAGTGTTCCTCACTCTCAGCAACTTTAAAGTAGGTGGACTTCAATTCCCAGAATCCACCAGCCGGCATGAATTCCCAAAACTCACCAGCCACATACATACTTTTATGTGTGCTAGCTGAGGAATTCTCGGAGTTGAAGTCCGCTCATCGGTTGCAGGATCTGGGGCTGGCTAATCTAGGGAAGAGAAGGATCAGGGGATGACAGGATAGTAGCCTTCCAATATTTGAGGGGCTGCCCCAGAGAGGAGGAAGGGGGTCAAACTATTTTCTAAAGCGCCTGTAGGCCGGATAAGGAAGAATGGATGGAAACTGAACAAGGAGAGATTTAACTTGGAAATAAGGAGAAACTTTCTGACAGGGAGAACAATCAACCCATGGAACAGAAGTTGCCTTCAGGAGGTTGTGGGAGCTTCATCCCTGGAGGCTTTCAAGAAGAGATTAGACTCCCATCTGTCAAAAATGGTGTAGGGTCTCCTGCTTGGGCAGGGGGTTGGACTAGATGACCTACAAGGTCCCTGATTATCTGTTATGATCTTTAAAGCACGCTGCCTGGGGATTTCTGGGAGTCGAAGTCCACACAGTGTAAAATTGCTGAGTTGAGAAACACTGCCTTCTCATGGAATACCAATGAGTGTGACCATTTAGTTCAAAAAAATTAATCTAATAAATCAAGGAAGTGGGTTAGAGAGGGCTGCACTAGGCGGGGAAAAGATGGTCTGATGCAGTTAACCTTTTAACAAATTATGTTGAAGCTCAAGTGTGCAGGGGGGGAAAATACTAGTAAGGACCCAGAAGGGTGAAATAGGAGCCTTTACAATAAATACAGTCTGCTGTAGCTAAATCGCCAATGCTGGGCAATCAGGTAGTCTCTAAATCTAGTAAAGTTAGTTAAAGTTAGATAATTATTGTGACCCTAAAGGTTGAGAATTGCTGGGGGACTTGAGGAAGTTGTGGGGGGAACCCATTGTGTTTATTTATTTTTAGTTGGTTTACAGAATAGGCCGCTCTGATCAGCGTTCCCTAGGAATGGCGTGAATATCAGGAGAATGGCACTGGGGTTATTTGTGGCGATTGTTATTTGAGCAGTCGATTGCTGCAGATCCATACTTTAGATGTTTTTTCCGAGAGGCTTGTACTAGATGTTGTTGATAAACTGATCTTTGTCACTTGTTGTTTGTATCGTATGATTGTAACTATGATTGATTTATCTATGACCTGTCACTTTGTTGTTTGCATGTACACCGAGAGCTTATGCTCTGGAGACAAATTCCTTGTGTGTCCAATCACACTTGGCCAATAAAGAATTCTATTCTATTCTGTTCTGTTCTGTTCTGTTCTATATTCTATTCTATTCTATTCTGTTCTGTTCTGTTCTGTTCTGTTCTGTTCTGTTCTATTCTATTTTAATTCTAATTCTAATTCTATACTATCTTTATTCTATTCTATTCTATTCCTATTCGATTCGATTCGATTCCTTATTCGATTCCTTATTCTATTCCATTCAATTCCATTCCACTCTATATATTCTATTCTCTTTTCTCTTTTCTTTTCTATTCTATTCTATTCTACTCTCTATTCTATTCTCTATTCTATTCCCCTTTCTCTTTTCTATTCTATTCTGTATTCTACTCTCTTCTCCACTCTACTCTCTATTCTATTCACTTCTCTTCATCTTAAGTGCTTGCTCTCATATTGTTTTTTTAGGAAACTTTGTTTCCCTTACTTTTGAAAGCTTACTATTTCCCCTTGTTTGGCACTCCTCTCATACCTAAATAAATAAAATGTTGCTTTTAAAAAGAAACAGATATGTTTGGTTTCGCAATTCTCTTGAAGGCATCTTTTCAAATCATCCAACCCAATTCTTGTGCTTAGGGGAATAAAAGGAGATCACTGTGCTGCCCGCTTAAATATTTTCATTTCCCCCCTTCTTTCAAATGGTTATTTTGCTTATCCCTGAGCTCCCTTGAAGCCTTGAGGACTTGTCTCTTGAATGGTCAAATTATTATTATTTTCTTGCGACTACGAAGTCCGGGACTGCTACTTGGAACCACAGCCCCAGCCTGAAAAAAAGAAACTGGATCCAAATCACACTGGCAAAGATTTCTAGTCCTCAAACACAGGCTGGGAGTTCAGAGACAATTCTGCCCTGAAAAATGGGAGAGGGTTGGGCTACATGACCTCTGTGTGTCCTTCCAAGGTTAGGATTTTTTTTTTTACATGGAATATAATTGGGGTTTAAATTCTCGGGCTGTTGTGGTTCACCAGCAGACGGCAGCGGAATCAGACAGTAGGGAAGAAAGGGGACCAGTCTGGGGAGGACTTGGATGAGGGTCCTTGCGTCCGATGTAGAGATGGGGCCAAGACCATCTGGGAGTGGGGTGCTGACTCCGGAGCCTCTGGAGTCTGTCAGCAGCGAGGCAGAGGAACAAGGGGAGCCTGTTCCCAGTGCGTGTATGCACAGAGCTGCTAGAAGGCAAGAGCAGCTGAGACAAAAGGGGCAATTCGGGAGTAAGGCTGGGAGGTGATTGCCTCTCCCATAAGGAACAGGCAAAGGTGAAGAAACCTTTGCAGGAAGCAAAGTCGTTCGTTTGGTTCAGATTCATTCTTGAAGCTCTTTGGAGTTTGATTGGTTGTTTTTTTTCCTAGTTCATTTGATACTTCTGTTATTGGCAGCCCTTCACAGAAAAGAAAAGTGAGTGCTTATCTTGAGGGACTGTTTGAGCTTCATTACCGGCTGGGAATGAAAATAATTCCCAGTGTGTTGCAATAAAACAAGACTTGTTTTTAAAATAAGCGCGTGTGTGTAATTACGGTCTCGGAAGCCTTGGTCGGAACATGGGCTGGGATAAAAAGTCTGGATTTTGGATTCTTTTATGAGCGGGATAACACATGCGTGTCTTGTCTCCCTTTCCCCGGTAGCAAATTTAACTGGGCACGATGAAGAGAAAGTGGGGATGGAAAATTTCGAACTGCTAAAAGTCCTGGGGACGGGAGGTAAGTGCAAACCATGTTTACAAGGTTTTTTTTTTTTTTTTTAGCAAGCATTTCTTTCTCTCTCTGCCTGCCTCATTGATAGAGACAGCATTTTTTATACCAAAGGGAGAAGAAGAAAAAAAAAACCCATTAAGAACCTCAAAATTGCAGCTATTTTTCACTCTGATTCAGGGGGAGGGATTGAAAAGCGGAGCTCGAAGGGAAATGAAATACACTCCATCCTTGAATTATGACTGCCCGTTGAACCCCAAATTTCCGTCGCTCAGCGAGACGCTTTGTTAAAAAGGGAAGTTTTCCCCTTTGATGAGCTTTCTTGCCACTGTGGTGAAGCTGAATTTCATTTCAATTTCATTGTACGCATGCTGTGCATTGACAATAAACATTTGATTTGAGTATTTAGTAACACGGTCGTTAAGTGAATCCGGCTTCCCGGTTGACTTTGCTTGCAAGAAGCTTCCAAAAGGACTGTCAGGATTCCGGCAGTTACCCCTCAATTAAATCATGAATCTCGAGCCAAACTTCCAAAACTTCAAAAGGATTTATTAGGAGTAACCATGCCAGCAGTGCCTGGGTGTAGCCGACTCTGAGACACATCGTTCATTGTAACCCTTGACCCTGGTTTTCCCTCCACCCCCTGGGTGTATCATAATTCATATTCTCCAATGGGGCGCATCCATAGCCCAGAGGCATCAATCATGCTCTCCAGTTAGATATTTGGAAGGCAGAAACTTCAGTCACCTAGTTACTATCTTTGAAAAACTTTTTATGGAATGCGCTTTCGATTTCCAAGCTGCTGCACTGCTCTTTCAAACCCCTTTCCCCCCCTCCCTTTCTTTTGGCAACTCTAAAAAAGACCATAGAAATATTGCATGAGTCGACAAGGAGACACCCCCACTAACACTGTGACCGTCATAAATAGGAGCCAGGTGACAAGCATCCTAATTTTGATCCCGTGACCACGGGGATGGCGCAACAGCCATTGGTATGAACAACGGTCCTAAGTCGCTAGGTTTCGGTGCCGTCGTAACTTCGGTCACTAAACGAATGGTTGGAAAGCGAGGACCGCTAAGCCCAGCCCCCTTTATTGCTCTTCCTTCTGCCCTCCAGCCTACGGGAAGGTGTTCCTGGTCCGTAAACTAACCGGCCACGACACCAACAAGCTGTATGCCATGAAAGTGCTCCGCAAAGCGGCCATCGTCGCCAAAGCCAAGACAACCGAGCACACGCGCACCGAACGGACTGTCCTGGAGCACGTCCGCCAGTCGCCTTTCCTCGTGACGCTGCATTACGCCTTCCAGACGGATTCAAAGCTCCATCTGATTCTCGGTAGGTGGGGAGAACCGGGGCTGGAGGAGAAATGGGAGGATGGGATTGGGAAGCGGGGGAGGGGGAGGGGGAGGACATTGGCCAGCGCTAAGGGTTCGATCCGAGCCTCTCCCGCTGCTTCCTGCCCAGATTACGTGAGCGGAGGGGAGCTGTTCACTCACTTGTACCAACGGGACCATTTCTCGGAGGATGAAGTACGGTTTTACAGCGGGGAGATCATTTTGGCACTCGAGCACCTTCACAAGGTGAGAACTCTTTCATTTATTGGTTTCTTAAATCGTCTAGGCTGCCTGTCTCCGCTGAAGTAAAGGATAGGATAGGAATAGGATAGAATATAAAATGTAGAATAGAATAGGAATAGGAATAGGAATAGAATAGGAATAGAATAGGAATAGAGTAGAGTGTAGAGTAGAGTAGAGTAGAGTAGAGTAGAATAGAATAGAATAGAATAGAATAGAATAGAATAGAATAGAATA